AAAGACCAAAAAAGCTACCTGCTTTCACAGTCTGACTGCTTGGTGTCACTGGAAAGCAGTTTTCTTTTTAAGGGGATCCATATGGACATACAAATCTGCCGTTGCTTTAGAAAACTGAATTAGTCTTTAGTTTGCTTTTACTTAAACTGAAAGCATTGCGTTAGCAACCAGGAGGACTGGTTATTATTAGTAACCTTTTACAGGAAATGTGATGTGTCATGGGTAGAGCATATATTTTTCTAGAAAATGCAGTGTACGGTGAAATGGGGGGAATAAGTAAACATAAAGTGCTTATGCAGCAGTTCACTCTATTTGAATGCCCAGTAATACAACTCTGAGGTTACCTGCTCATAAAGGAAGGAGGGAATGATATTTGAGATTTATTTTTGGCTAAAAGCATGAAGTACAAATAGCTCTTTGTGCAAAATGTAAGCTGCATTTCTGGGAAGCAAACAGCATTGCCTTAATAATCCATGGTAAATAACAACACTAAGAATGTTACCACCTATTATATACACCTGCAGGTGTATCTGGATAAACTTATATAACTGTAGTTTGACATCTGAAATAAATACGGAAAAATAAGACAAGGCATTTCAAACAAGTTATTCTGTGAACAGCAGAATTAATGAAGTATAGCACGAAATTCAACTTCTGATAACAAAATTTGGGTGTCTACGTGGAGGTATTCAGGTATGGAGAAGACATCTGAACTACCACTACAGTCTGCAGAGATCTAGGGCTTGATCATCCCCACCCCTGTACTTGACACTGGTGAGGCCGCACCTCAAATCCTGTGTCCAGTTCTGGGCCCCTCACTACAAGACAGACCTTGAGGTGCTGGAGCGAGTCCAGAGCAGGGCAACAAAGGTGGTGAAGGGTCTGGAGCACAAGTCTAATGGGGAGCGGCTGAGGGAGCTGGGGGGGGTTAGTCTGGAGAAGAGGAGGCTGAGGGGAGACCTGATCGCTCTCTACAACTACCTGAAAGGAGGTTGTAGGGAGGTGGGGGTCGGCCTCTTCTCCCAAGTAACCAGTGATAGGACAAGAGGACATAGTCGGAAACTGCACCAGGGGAAGTTCACGCTAGAAATGAGGAGGCATTTCTTCACAGAGAGGGTCATTAGGCATTGGAATGGGCTGCCCAGGCAGGTGGTGGAGTCAGCATCCCTGGAGGTGTTTAAGAAAAGACTGGAGGTGGCACTTAGCACCATGGTCTCATTGACATGGTGGTCTTGGGGCAAAGGTTGGACTCGATGATCCCAGAGGTCTCTTCCGACCTAATAAATTCTGTGATTCTGTGATTCAGTTTTGTCTAGCATCACTGGGGATACTGTAAAGTATCCATCCTGGGCTCCAGCTAGACACAGATGTCCCATAATAGTGTGTCCTATTAACCATTTGCCTCAGGATGACTTGGGTATGCTAGGGTCAGTTGGCACTAGAGGACTACATATTGGCAGATGCATGCATCCCTAACATGGTCACCTGTATTTAGTCAGACATGTAGACAACATGTCTACATGATGAATTTCTTTTGATTGAAATGGGGCTTAGATGCCCCGCTAGACCCTCAAGCTTTGGTGTCTGAGTCTGGAGGCAGCTGCCATCCTTGAAGAATGATTCAGTTCACTAAACACAGCCAGTCTGTTGCCTGCTGCAACACCCTGTCATGCCCTGGTTGGATGATAGCTGGAGCTTTAAGAGGACACACATCTCCTGTAGGTCTGGTGCGGATATTCCAGTTAACCTCAAACAACAGTGGACACCTCTGTTAAGGTAATTGAATTGAACCTATGAAGTCTGGAAGATTTTTATTCTGGATTTCTTTATCCTCTCCCTTCCTCCAGCTCCTTCCCATGTCTCTAGGTTGCCACTGGGAAGGAGACACATGAGGTGGTCTGTTCCAAGCTCTGTCTGCACTGGTGACCTGGGCAGTGGCTCTTCTCCACACCTGTGCTTATTTTCAGGACACTTGTAGCAATGTGATTATCTCTGAGACCCCATCCTTCTATCAAATTTGGTTGAAAATGGCTAAAATGATTCTACCAGGGACTCCTTCACTGATGGGCTCCCACCTGCTTGGCAGTATATCCAGTACTTTGGTTTTCAACTATCTATCAGACAACATCACTTGCAATGTCTCTGAGTGGGATATGAAATGAAAGATTGATTCATACCAGATTGCTGCAATGATTAAGAGGAGACCCACGCAAGCTATCAGTGACACACCAGTATGATGGACCAGCTAAGAAACAATTAGCTTTAATCTCATTTTACTTTGAAACAGGGTAGTGCTCAGTGTAGCAACAGTTTATTCAGTAGTTCATAATGGACATGGGCATCTGCTGTGCTACCAACTGCTTTCGTTTATAATCGTGGTGATTGCAGAGTACTTTAGAAAACAGTACTGACAGGACACTTCAAATACAGTGTCGCCAGAGTGATTAAGACCATGTTTTCAAAATTCCAGCTCATATATTCTGTATATTTGAAATAAGAGGGAACAGTGTGGAGGGATGATATTAAAAGCTTGTGGATCTTTGGTAAGGCCCAGTTAAATATAAGTACTTTTTATGCTGTTTATTTTGGTCTAGCAGACTTTATCAACTGAAATACTATCAGAAAGGCAGAAGCCAGGGGACTTACAAGTATTTCTGGTAGTGTTAAGAAATCACAGAGAAAATATCTTCAACAAGTCCATTTTATTGCTGAAACAGAAGAAGTGCCGCAGCACTGATCTCTCCCTTGCAGTGCCACAGAGCTGGCACACCCCCACCCACCTTGTACAGGCAGCAGATAAGTAGATACCAGGCAATTTGGTCCTAGTTTATTTGGGGTAATTATATTTTAGTGGATATTGGTTCGAGTCACTTTTCCCCTATTCCGGTCTTCCCAGCCATCTACCTCTGGTGTGAGCTTCTTGCCCTTGTCAATCTGGCACAAAAGCTGCAATTCATTCCTTCCCAGACCATGTGCAGGTGTGATGTCCCATGCACAGCAACTGGTGATGAGGCTGCCAGATATATTACTGGAAATAGCCTTCTAGAAGAAACTAGGTTTATTTGTTGGGTATAATTGTATTTATTGGGGGGGGGGTGTGTTTAAAAAGGTATTTAAATCATCAAATATGTCACCCAAATGTGTAATTGTGTCTAATCTTGCCATGCACTAACAGCAAAGGTAGACAGTTCTGAAGTTGCAGGAACAAGAGGAAGTCAGCTTACAGTCTCCAGTTCAGTTTGGATCTTCTCATGCACCTGTGAAAATCTTCAAATAGTTTTTACCTGACTAGTAGCAGCATTTCCAGGACCAAGCCTGCTTTGGGGGTTAGCCCTGCTCAAATTTGGCCACATTAATCCTGGTTGTGATGGCTTGGGTTTGCCTGGAGGGAAAAGCTTTTGAAACGATGTGATTTCTTAGGTGTTTATTCACAGGCACAATAGATTTTCTGCATGGCCCAGAGGATATTTAAATTAAGACTATCTGTGAAAATACATACAAATGTTTAGAAATGTTTCCAAACATACTGTTTGGTTTAAGTGCCATGCATATGTATATTATTATCATAGAATCATAGAAAGGTTTGGGTTGGAAGGAACCTTTAAAGGTCATCTAGTCCAGCCTCCCTGCCGTGAGCAGGGACATCTTCAACCAAACCAAGTTGTTCAGAGCCTCATCCAGCCTGTCCTTGAATGTGTCCAGGGATGGGACATCTACCACCTCTCTGGGCAACCTGTTCCAGTGTTTAACTACCTTTATCATAAAGAATTTCTTCCTTATATCTAGTCTGAATCTCCCCTCTTTTAGTTTAAAACCATTACCCCTCGTCCTTTCCCTATAGGCACTGCTAAAAAGTTTCTCCCCATCTTTCTTATAAGCCCCCTTTAGGTACTGGAAGGCTGCTGTGAGGTCTCCCCGGAGCCTTCTCTTCTCCAGGCTGATCAACCCCAACTCTCTCAGCCGTTCTCCCTGAGAGCCCTCTGCCGGGCCCTACCCGCTTCCCCCCCTCACCAGGTAGACATGTTCTCCCTGACCGACCTCGATCATGGCAGGCACACGTGCTCCAGCCCTCAGATCATCTTCGTGGCCTCCTCTGGACTCGCTCCAACAGGTCCATGTCCTTCTTGTGCTGAGGACCCCAGAGCTGAAGGCAGTACTGCAGGGGGGGTCTCACCAGAGCAGAGCAGAGGGGCAGAATCCCCTCCCTTGATCTGCTGGTCATACTGCTTGTGATGCAGCCCAGGATATAGTTGGCTTTCTGGGTTGTGAGGGCACAATAATGGGTCATGTCCAACTTTTCATCCACCAGTACCCCGAAGCGTTTCTCCGCAGGGCGGCTCTCAATCCCTTCATCCCACAGCCTGTATTGATACCAGGGGTTTCCTTGGTCCCGGTGCAGGACCTTGCACTTGGCCCTGTTGAACCTCATGAGGTTCACATGGACCCACTTCTCGAGCTTGTCCAGGTCCCTATATCTTGCTATAACAATATTCACACTGAGTAAAAACCAAAAAGGTCCTGAAAACATTCTTCCTATAGTCTTTTTCTACATGTAAACAGTACCTTTCTGGATGTCAATTAGTGTTGCAATTAGTGATTTTCTCCAAGGGGGAATACTGACAATTACAGCAAATTCATCATACCACCAGTTACGAGAATTTTTACACTGTATAGCTCCCAATCAAAATTTTATCCCATATTCTGTTTCTGAGCTTTATCTTTTTTTTTTTTTTTTTCTGTGTTTTAGGGTGTTGGAGAGGGAAAGGGAATCAGAGTGTGTTATTGTCCATGCTATGCCTCTGCACCTGAAATGAATTTGTTTGGAAATCTCTGCTCCTTTTCCTACTGAAATCACATATAATTAGAGGTAGTTCCATGAACACTAGTGGTGTTATGGTGGCACAGATGAGATGAGACTCAGACCCTCCTGCTTCCAAGACCAAACATTCATGCTCCACATTTAAGGGTCACTGATTTCCTTTCAACTTTATTCATTTCAGGTGCTCAACTTGTTCCTTGCCTTGCTGCTAAGCTCTTTCAGCGCTGACAACCTCTCAGCACCAGACGAGGATGGGGAGATGAACAACCTGCAACTTGCTTTTGCTCGGATCAACAGGGGCATTCAGTACGTGAAACACACGATGTGGAATTTTTGCTGCAATGTCCTCCAGCACCCCAAGACGACAGCTGAAAAGAAGGCAATGATGAAGCTTGCTGCCCAGAATACAGGTGCCCTTAACAATTGTGTGAACAGTCTCACAACCACTGAGCTTGGCAAAGACATGGAGAATCACAAAGAGAACCATGCTGAAGATGGAATGAATAGAACTGGGGAGAAACACCTAGGAATTACAGACAATGATGATTTTATGACCAATCCTGACCTGTCCATTTGTGTTCCTATTGCTGTGGGAGAGTCAGATATCGAGGAGGAAGACGAGGAGCAGAGCACCTTTACGGAAATGGAGCAGGTAGGCAACTAAAATGTTTGCTAGTTGCAGCTTATTGATGGCCTTTGTTCCCATCCTTGATCTGGATCCATGGCTAGTGGTGCAAATGTCCTATGGACTAATCCTGCCCTTGATATGTTGTTAACTTCAGAAGAAGTTACAGGTGCATATCCAAGAGCAAAATTCAGTCTCCAACAAGAGGTATTCGCTTTCTTTTTATTCTTTGTGCTTGCCTAGATTAATTCTTCTAACCAGAGCAATTAAACCCTTTCTCACACAGGAGGCTGTTTTTTTTTTCTTTCAGCTGAATCATGGGAATGTTACAGAACAGATGTTAGGTCCTCTGGATTTTCCCAGTGTGCAAAAATGGGCAATGGTTTAGTTTGGTTTGTGCAGCAAGAATCGAGGGCCAGGTAGTTCTCTTAAAAATACAAGGCAGAGGCTGATACAACAAGGCACCAGAGAAAGAGAGAAGATACGTAGTCATATGTATTCAGACAGGAAAAATAGTTTTGCCTGTTCTTTGGTGTGACATGGCAGATTTTCATTTTCCCCAGAGCACCCACTAGTAAAGGCTGAAAAATCTGTGTGGTTTGAAGTGGTGGTGTAAAACGGAGAATAAAAATTTTCACAGGAATGCTTTTCTTTCTCTCCTCCTTCTCTCCCCTTTCTACCAGCTTTATCTCTTGGCTCCACACACCATATCTAGCTAATTTTTTCCAGACCCTCCAGCCTTGATCCAGCATCCTCTGATGCCAGCTGAGACCCC